TGAAAAAAGTAAATGAACATCCATAGATTTATACCGTTAAAACATGGTTGAAACAATGTTGAAGTGTGGTTGGAAAAACAATAAATTATACAATAGCGGAGCTAGTACCAAGCACATATATCTTAATATAATCACAGATCTATGGTTAAAGTATGGTTAAAGTATTGTCGAAGTACTGTTAAAATACATAAGATACACTTATAAAAGCAACAAAATTCCACCTTCTTGCAGTCTATTTATTATATTCATTGTTGGGATAAATGTTATAAAAATGGTTGAATGGACCGATACTCAAATACGTATTCTCATCGATGAGCGTAGAAATAGAAATGAAGAATATTATAATTTTGGAAGAAATCGAATCAGATTTTGGGATAGCATCGCAACCAAAATTAATCAAGAACATAATACGAGCTTTAATGAATACCAATGTAAAGAAAAGTTTATGAATCTTGTTCAGGATTACAATGTAAGTATGGTATATTAAGGCTCGAAGATTTTTTGCTTACATCTTAGCTATTATGACTAATAATTTATGTCAATTAGTTGATGTGCGATTATATGGCAGGAAATTGAAGAGCATAAAGAAGTCAAACGGGTGCGCAATATTTTGATGAATTCCATACACATTTTTGGGAGAGACCTGAAGACAATTTTGATAGAATTCACAATATTAATAGTTCTAATCGTAGACAACGTAGAATTGGAGAAAATAATACACCTGCACCATCTACTGGAGAAGTTGAACATGAATTAGGCCAAACATTGCCAGGTAATCAAAGAAGCTGAAGAACTTCTATTGATAGTTGAAGAAGTCGAAGAAGTCGTAGATGGTCAGCATCTCCATCTCCACCCCATTATGCAATAAACACTAATACAAACAATCCTAGTGTGGAAAATCCTGAACAAAATATTGATCATGCTGGCTCTACCAAAACATCATCTCTTCAACCACCACCACCACCTTATAAGTTCACAGATGAAGCACGAAATAATTCTTCAGAAATGAATCAGAGCCAAGTTGTTTCTAACCGCGAAGTAGTTGTCTCTGGTAATATACTCTTGTCTCAAAATGACAGTAATATTAGTATATATAATGTGGAAGATAGTCAAACATTTCCTAATATGAAATCAATAAATGAATAGATTGGATAAATATATTTTTTTATTTAATAAAAATAGTACAGTATGTGAGTAACATCACGTGACTTTAGCGCTGAATTTTTGTCAAGAAAAAATAAAAATTTGCGGGACATAATTTTTCGGAAAAATGCTGATATATCTAGATAAATTGATTGCATAACACAGATGTTCGATCAGGCAAGTAGTGCCATTACTTCATAATACACATCACATGAATACCAAAGAAGAAAATCGAAGGTCATGGAACTTCTGCATGCATGATGTAATCGTGTGATCTTCTGACTAACACAAAAAACCAGATTTGAATTTTCTTTGTAAAGAATACTTTCAGAAAGAAAAAAAATGCAGATTCTTTTAGAAGAAGAGTATAGTTTTGTCTTCGTTTATAATTGTTTTTATTCCAATTTCATATTTGCTAAACTTCATACAGAAATGGAGCAGGATTATAAATATCTTGGTTGGAAGGATTTTAGTGTTGAGTATTTGGAGAATAATTGTAACAAAGTCAGAAAAGTACGCTTCGCTTCATGGTTTGGTTATACAATTAACGCAAATAGCAGGCGATATGGTTCTATGAGTGACATGTTTCAAATATATAAGCTGGCTTGCGAGAAAGCTTTACATCATTCCGCCAAATCTAGTAGCATTCTACGAGATGCTTATGAAGGATTTTTCAAGGTTCCTGATGTATGTATTGTTTTTTATCCCATCTATAGTATTTTATATGATGATATTTCATCTATTCTGAGAATCAATTTCACACCACCTCCTCACACCTGAGATTTGGATCTTGATGGTCATTTGTGGTGTATGAAGAAATCAGAGATCTGATTAAATAAGAGTGTTGAATAATAAGCAGAATATAGAATTTTCATATATTGACTCCTCTATTTTTATAGAACAAACAAAGAATGCAATATATATCAACAGTAGAGGCTATGGAATCAATGGTTGACTGAACTACTATAATTTTGTTTTAGAAAAACTTATTACTGACACTAACATATTTTATACATTTCAGGTTTCTCTTAAATTCGTAAGCCCAACAGAGGAGAATCTTGTCTTTTCGAACAAGAAAAAAATTGGAAAATGATTGGTA